TTCCATGAACAGAGGCTACAGTCCATGGGGTCACAAAGAGTCAGACATGATTGAGCAACTAACTCTTTCTGTGTAGAATGAGACATGTTTTCAAGATCCATGCTAGCTCTAAAATTCTGCAGTTGGCCAAGATTTTTCTTTTTCTTTTAGCAACTTGTGTTGAAACTACAGCCATAGCTAGCTGAGTCACGTTGGTAAGTTTAGGACCTGCGTCCACACCAGCTCATAACTACCTTCCTTTAGAGACAAATGAGAATGTTGAGGGATTTTCTAGAATGACCTTTAGTTGCTTACCCCAAACTAGAAGAAAAGAGTTCTAAAATCGTTGAGGGGGGGAAATCCCTGGAGCTGGTTAACAACACAGAATGGGTTACATTATGAATTGTGTCAACTGGCACTGTTTTTCCTACCCCTGGATTCCTCTAAATATGTTTATTCACTGCCCTGGGTCTCAGTTTATTCATCCGTGTAATGGGATTGCACTTATTCCTCTTTGAAGAGTCAGCTACAGAGTTCTGTGATGGGATTCTAAGCCTTTTTACAACTGTTAGTGATTCCACTATGAATTTTTAACTATGACATTTATCTTTCATGTTGATATTGTCATTTATCTTCTTACTGAGTAGAATACATATGCATGTGTGTGCTTGTTAAGTTGCTTCGGCTGTGCCTGACTCTTTGCAACCCCATGGTCTGTAACCCGCCAGGCTCCTCTGTCCACGGGGTTCTCCAGGCAAGAATACTGGAGTGGGTTGCCATGCCCTCCTCCAAGAGATCAAACCTGGGTCTCTTATGTCTCCTGCATTGGCAGGCGGGTTCTTTACCTCTAGCACCACCTGGGAAGCTCAGGATACATATATATGTAGGTATATATTTTCAACTCACAATAGAAAAACGTATTTAATGTTTTTGATTTGTAAAGGAAAGTCCTGTTTTCATCAAAGACAGAAAATCACGATCTCTCCATCTCTCCCTCCGTCTCTCTCTTCTCTCCCTCCTCTCTCCCTTCCCTCTCTCCTTTGCTTCCATCTAGCTTCCTGTCTCCCTTCCTCCTCATTCATGGACCTCCAAAAAATGAAATGGCACCTATCAAATCCAACGGCAATTGTCCACGTGAAAGCTAGGTGGCATATTTATGAAAGTTTTATCCTAATGGTCCTTGGGCTTTGTGGTGATTTATGTCACTAAGAACCCAAACTGTTAAGTAAAAGCTTTACTCATTTCAAACAAGAACTGGTTTCCAAAACTCCTGCACTAACTGGAAAATGAAGTTAATCTCTCGAGGATGATCTGTGTATTTTATTTTGCTCCAAGTACAAGGAGGTGCCAGGGCAGTGGGTGCTGTGCACTTTCCCCTTTCTTAGAACAGAATTGCACTTACACAGAAGTGAAGTTTCTTACACTTAAAGAAGAAAATCATTTCTGCTCCAAGTAACTTTGTTCATTATTTCCAGCTTGTAACTTCAGTTTCTAATTATAGATCACAGCTTGGGCATTGGGTAAGCTAAAACCAGTCCTATAGGACTCTCTGCTCTGTTCTTTCTTCTTGAACATGAGCAACAGGAGCAGATGAAAAGTACATTTGGAATTGCTTGAGTCAGGCCTAGATTTTTCATTGTTCTTTGTCCTGGGCTTGATTTAGCCATTCAGCCTAGAGGTCTACCTCACTTGTACCAAGAAACATAGAAAAAACTTGGCATGCATTTTATTATATGCTCTGCCTTGTAAATTAATAGTTTAATAGATATTCCAGGAAGAACTGAGATGGAGACCTTTGACATTTTCCACCAGCCAACCATCTCCCGGGCCTCCCAGGTGGTGCTAGTGATAAAGAACCTGCCTACCAATTCAGGAGACACGGGTTCAATCCCTGGGTCAGGAACATATGCTGGAGGAGGCATTGACAACTCATTCCAGTATTCTTGCCTGGAGAGAATCTCATGGACAGAGGAGCCTGGCGGGCTAAGGTCCACAGGGTCGCAAAGAGTCGGACATGACCGAAGTGATTAGCACATACACACACAGAGTCATTAGCATGCAACCATCTCCTATTTGGAGCTTTTCAAAGGAGTTTCCTAAACTTGAACCTTCTGCTCTAGTTCTTCTAGTTAATATTGATTTGGTCAACATCAAGTCTATGTAAAAGGTTTTGTCTCTTTCAGGCAACTTTCTCCCATTACTTTTATTTTTAAATATCAATTATTTTATCTTCAAGTAATATATGACTATTGAAATAATATGAAAATAGAAATAAGCAAATGGGAATATACTACCCATGATCCTATTACCCAGTAAAACTGCTAGAGTCTTTTAAATTTTTCTCATAATGTTTTTGGTGCTAGAAATGAAATGTGTTGGTCTGGGAGAGTTTCTAAGCCTCTCCACCCAGTCTCCCCATCACCTGCAAAAGAAGATCCTGTTTTGGCCCTGACCTAGATCTTTCCTTCCCCAGACCTTGAAGGACATTTTTGTCTTTGCCAAACCAATTCTAGGGTCAAAGCTGGAGAGACGGTATAACCCAGATAGAATCATGAAAAAGAAAAGAAAAAAGGGCCAAGAGACCTAGATAATGAACACGGTGAGGGAGAAGGAGGACACAGAGACAGGCACATGTGCTGGATGTTGGGAAAGCCTTGGGAGTGGGGTGGGGTGGGGTGAGGTGTATTGGTTGAAAGAGGATCTGGACAGTGAGCCGGAAACCAGAGTTTGAGTGGGAGAAGGCAGAGCTTGGCTGTGCTCATGAATTGAAATTGCATCAGCATCACTGGAGAGATGAAGCAAGGCAAGATTGTTGTAGTTGGCCTGCCCAAAGCCAGAGGTGTGGGGCTGGAGATCCTGCGTGCACGCTCAGTCACTAAGTCGTGTCCAACTCTGTGTGACCCCGTGGACTGTAGCCCCCGCCAAGCTCCTCTGCCCACGGATTCTCCAGGCAAGAATACTGGAGTGGGTGGCCATGCCCTTCTCCAGGGGATCTTCCCAACCCAGGGACTAAACAGGTCTCCTGCACCGCAAGCAGATTCTTTACCATCTGAACCACCAGGGAGGCCGGGGCTGGGGAGCAGTTACTTTTCTATCTTTATGTTTTCTGTTTTGTATGTTCACTTTATTTCTGATCATAAAATACTGTACTGATTGTAGAAATTTCTACTTCTGAGTTATATAACATAGGTTCTAAATCCACCTACCAGAGAGAATTGTTGCTTTTACCTAAGCAATATATTATTGCCTTCATGCATGATAAAGCATACTTGACTTTTTGAAAATAATTATATATGTCACCATTTAGTACATTGTTGGCCATATACATTGTTTCTAAAAGTTATAAATACTACTCATGTGAATACTGTTACAATCCAGTCTTTGCATTTTTATTAATTTCTTTACATTATCTATTCTGAAGAGATTTTTGCCTGGAAGGGTATAAGTCTTTGCAAGAGTTCTGAATGAAATAAGCAACTTACTATAGAGTTTAATTTAAAACTACATGCTACTACTTTGATCACTGTTTAGCTCCATGCATTTGAGTAGAAATTAACTTTTTCAAAGGAGTTTGACATTAATTATGTCCCTGCTTTCACCCCTTAAGATATGCACTACTTTCACTCCTATTTGAAAGTATTTAAATAGTAAATAGTAAAATTGCTTTTCTGTTTCAGGAGGCAGAATCAGAGCAAAAAATTTCAAGGGATTTTTTAAAAAGGAGTCTTAGTTATCCTAAATATAAATCCCAATATGAAATGACTTCATTTGTTCTGTTTTGGAGAAAGTCAGTTCTTGGCATCACCTTTTATTATCCTGTCTTCCAAATCAGTGATGCTGATAACACACTGACCCCTCCTTGTTCTTCCCAAGCAACATTCTCATTAGCCTCTTAGGAGGGTAAAAAGTTAGTAAATCATCATACTTGCTGACCACAAATGTCTTTTAAGAATTTTATACACACAGTGGGTTGAGGGTGGGGATGGGTGGGGCTACAATGCCCAGTCATTCTCAGTTATGAAGTACTTGATCTACACGTCCTCTTTATAAATGGCTTTCCCCCATTATCAACAGCAGTGTAACCTTTGGCTCATGTAACAATGAAACTTGAGGTTTTATGCCTGGAAATCTCAGTTGATAACCCATCTCCTAATGATACTCTGGGCCTTTTAAAGAATTAGAGTGGCCTCTCTAACACCAGGAGTCATAAACCCAAATGCCTCCATGGGCCAGGCAGCTTACGTAAGAGACCAGGGCAAGGCAGCTGTTAGAAAAACAGTTATTAATGGCTGCTCACTGGGGGCCTCTGTGTCAAAGATTTCCATAGATAGTGGTGGGGGCTGAGGTTAAATGGAGAGCATTTATTCTGTGTAAAGGAGAAGGCACTCTAGACAGTGGCTGACGTGGGAAACTGGGCCTCGTTTTGTGAGATTTTCTTGTTTCCAGGAGAAGCAAGAAACCCCAAGGTTGATGGATTTAAACACACACACACACACACACACATTGGGATTCAAGTAAAAGTTTTTAAAAATATTGTACAGTCCAGACACAAGTGTGACTGCAGACTGACTTATGAAGCCCACCGTGTGTGGGCTGAACCACCATGTGACCTGAACTCCACGTTCATCTAGCGTGGCGGATTCTAGGAGGATTTAAATAAGCCCTTGGAGCTCAGAAAATACAATAATTGAAACTAGAGCCCAGGATGTAGGAAAGCTAAAGACATCCCATCCAACAAAGGGGCTCTCGTCTATTGAAATGCTGGGCCTCTAATGTGATGGGCTGTTTGGTAGGAGTACACTGCCTCCTGTGAATCTTCCCTCCACTGTGTTCTGACCTCTGTGCCCAAGTTTCTTCCTTTGAGAAGTGGTTTAATACTGTCGACCTCATCAGGATATGAGGATTAAATGAGACAACTTAGAGAAAAGGCTTGGTAAGTATGCTTTGTTATTACTCTTCCCCTCCCCCCTTCCTCATTCCCCTCCTCCTGACCTGGGCTCCCCCTTTCTTCCATATTCCAGGTTCCTGAGCCCCTTCAACATGATCCTTGGAGGCATTGTGGTGGTGCTCGTGTTCACGGGCTTTGTGTGGGCAGCCCACAATAAAGACATCCTCCGTCGGATGAAGAAGCAGTACCCCACAGCGTTTGTCATGGTGGTCATGCTAGCCAGCTACTTCCTCATCTCCATGTTCGGGGGAGTGATGGTCTTTGTGTTTGGTATCACTTTTCCCTTGCTGTGTAAGTGAACCTGAGCCTTATATCATCAAGAAATGTCGATCCATTCATCCAGTGAGAATGCCCTAACCTGTTTCTGAGGTGCGTTGGCAGGTCTGCAAAACTATCAAGAGTTTTCTGCAACAGCAGATCAAGGCTGAATAGCCCATTAATGGCACAAATACGTACTGGGCACCCCCTCTGTGTCACTCTTCTGGGGACACAACAATAAACAAATTCAGATCCCAAGTCATACAGTAGTGGCATGGTCTGCATTGGCATCCAGATTTGTCTGATATTAGAGTCTGTTCTTAACTGTTTAGTGCCAGGCATCCCGTGCTGACACAGAAATGAATGTTTACTCTCTACTTACTCAGAAGATCGTAATTAGTGTCAAAAGCGTTGTAAGTTGGCCCAGAGTATAGATAACCATGGACTCCAGTTCTGGTGACGAGAACTAGACATTTTCTAAAGTCTATGTGCACTGTTGACTGAGATTCCCAAGCACTTGAAGCCTGAAATAGAGAACAGATAAAACTCCAGTCTCATCAGTGGAAATCTAATTAGAATTATAATGTACTCAGTGACAGGAACATCCCTTTAAATTTTAAAAGCATTTCATGTGCTGCCATTCCATTAAATAAAATCAATTCCTTGTTTAGGCTTTGTTAGATTAAGCCCCCAGAATATTTATATGTGAATCCCACATTTTATTGGATAAAATAATTAAATCATTAAATTTAGATACTTTTGAAATACTCTTCAGGATTTCTTTATGTGCTAGAGACAGTATTTCAGTGATTCTGCCTCACTATACAGCTTGTAGAAAACAGAGCAGTGTAATGAAACGTATCGTAAGTTAAGAGTCAAAGGTCCAGGTTTCTCTTCGTAGACCTGCTGGAAACCAGCCATGTGATCTGCACCAATTGTCTTATATGGGAAGAGCTGACTCACTGGAAAAGATCCTGATGCTGGGAAAGATTGAGGGCAGGAGGAGAAGGGGGCAACAGACAATGAAATAATTGGATGGCATCATCAACTCAATTGACATGAGTTTGAGCAAACTCTGGGAAACAGTGAAGGACAGGGAAGCCTGGAGTGCTGCAGTCCATGGGGTCACAAAGAGTCAGACACTACTGAGTGACTAAACAACAATACTCCTATATGGGCTATAGTTCACTCATCCATAAAAGAAGGGAATTAGACAAGATCAGTGATTCCCAAACTTTGATGATTGTGAGAGTCATTCAGGATGATTTTAACATATACATTTCTCAGTCACAACCCTTGGAGATCTTGATTCTTTGGTCCACAGGGCTGTCCAAAGAACCTGTATTTTTAGAAAGCTCCTCAAATGTTTCTAGCGGTCACTCTTGATTAGGAGCCTCCAGAGAGAATGCACATGAGTGCTTCTCAAAATGAGGGCCCCAAATCACCCACATCAGAATCATCCACAGTGGCTACTGAAACGTTACATTCCGGAACCCTACCTCGGTCTCAACAATCTGAACTCAACAATCTCAACTCCAGGTGCTGGAGACTGGGAATCTGCCTATCTAACAGGCTTTCTCTCTGGTGATCTATATGCACACAGAAGTTTGAAAAGTGCTGGTGTAAATTACCCAAGGTGTTGACTTAACTACAGACTCCTGAGCCCATCCCTGTAAAGGTTCTAGAAGTTCAGGAGGCCCAGGAGATGGGCCAGAGAAAATCTGTTTCTTACAAACTCAGGTAATTCTTAATGATCAGGTAAATTCTGTGAATACCAGCTTACATAAGGTCTGTAAACCCTTAGCATTTTATCCAGACATTCTATATCCAACACTGTGCAATAGCGTTTTATCCAGATATCTATACCCAACACAGCGCACAACTGCCCTAAGGGAGGCACCTTCTAAGAGGACTTCACTTGCATGCCTCCTGCAGGAACAAAATACAGATAACCCCTGAACTGAGCATGAGTTCTTTTCCGGAAAAGGTTAGCATTACGTTCATTTTTAGGTAGGTTGAAATCACATCGATTCGCTTTGAATTTCAGGCTATTTAAGTAGCATCTGAAAGGCAGTGATAACAATGTGTGAAGGGAAGAGCGTGGCTGCCAGATTATGGTCCTTCCTGCTGAATACGACATTCTGCACACACAAAGAATACGGTAAAGCCCCAGGATCCATACAGGGACTTGGGTCCATTAGGCTGACAGAGAGCTTTATGTCAGGTTTAAGGATCCACACTGGGATGTGGGTCAGTTAGAGAAGCAGACTGGACTGTAGCTAATGGAGAAAGTTGTTACTTGTGAAGCGGGGAGGGAGAATGGGTGCGTTGGTGCTAACCGTCACCTTTGACTTCCCTGTAGTGATGTTCATCCATGCGTCGCTGAGGCTCCGGAACCTCAAGAACAAACTGGAGAATAAAATGGAGGGAATTGGTCTGAAGAGGACGCCCATGGGGATTGTCCTGGATGCCCTGGAGCAGCAGGAGGAAACCATCACCAAGCTCACTGACTATATCAGTAAAGTGAAGGAGTAAACAGAGCTGACCTGATGATGGGGTTGCAGCAGAAATCGAGTTGCGGCTTGCCCTTGTCCAGACCTACTTTCCGTTTGTGTTTTTGAAGTAGGAGGTGCATGAACCATCCTGCCATCCGTGGCCCCGGGCACGGAGAGGCCTCCCTGTTCTTATCTCTGCTGACAACAAAGAAAAGGCCTCCGACTAAAAGAAACCACCCTCCTGTTACGTATGACATCTCTAGTGTGTTTATGTAAGCTGATTGGAAATGAATCACCCTTATTTCCTAAGGAGAATAAAAGAATCATGGAGTGTACAACAATATGGTTATTTTGTAGGAAACAGTTTGTAAAGTATCAAGGCAATATGAATAAATGAAAAGACAAAGGAGATGATGTTATCCTGTTTTAATCCCCCTCTGCATCCTCTTCCAAAAATATTCCTTCCTTAGGATTATAATATGTGGGGTATCAATTAGTTTAGCTTTTATTATTATTGTTTAAAATAAAAAATGATCTTGATCACTTTGCCTCCTGGTTGATGTGCAGTGGATAAAGCAGTTGTTTCTATTTTGTTTACAAACAAATCTGCTAGCTGCTTAGGAGAATATTTTATCAAACTTTTTGTAAATTTTTGAAATGCTATTCTTTTCATTAGAAGGCATATGTTGCAAACTAAATATCATCTTCTTTAAGGGGGTTACAGCTCTGTAGCCTGTATTATTCTTGACGAGCTTGTTAAAAAAAAATCTGAATAAAATGAGTTTCTACTGCACAGTTTTTGTTTTTATAATGACAAAGAAGGATGTGGGTCAGTTAGAGAAGCAGACTGGACTGTAGCTAATGGAGAAAGTTGTTACTTTCCCCTTTCTATTCTTTTTTTTAGTTTTTAACTGCCACATTTAGAAGGTAAGAAATGAATGTGCATTTTTATTAATTCCTTGGGGGTAGAAAGAGGACAGTAATAGCTGATCTTTCGAAATGTGAAAAGCATCTTTAGATGACCAAGCAAACAGACCTTTAAAAATGGGAATGAAAATGATCATTGACTTCTGCAGTTCATAAAACTTTTAGATGGACCTTGGCACCACTGTTATGTTTTTATAGCTAGGCATTAGAATTAATATAGCATGAGTTTATATTTTCTGTTACTTTCTTCCTTTTACTCCCCATGTATTTTGAAATAGATGATATAACATGTTTTCCCTGCCAGCCGAGTGATTTCATAGATGAATAGAAAATATTTAGATTTCCCTAGGATGCAGACAGTTGGGGCAGTACTCATTGAAGAGACTCTTGTACGTTGTAGAAGAAGAAGCAATGCATATGCCACTCAGTTTTTCTTGCATTTTGATTTCTCACCCAACCTTCAGTTTTCCTCTTCAGCACAGTGATATCATCGTGATTTCACTCACATGGTCTAGAATTTGGACCCTTACCTAAATACGAAGAATAAAATTTATCAAAGATTTTTTTTGGGGGGAGGGTGCGGGGTGAGACTATTTACTTCAGACTATTGTCTGTGTTAAGTGTCTGAGAAACTCAGTGACAACCCTACAAAAACGATAAGCCTGTTTCTGTGCAGCAAAAAATACTCAGCTTGTGTTTCAAATACTGTTAATAAAACTTTAATATTTATTAATCTCCAGTCAGAATAAAGTCAGATCCTAATAGGATCCTTTTTTAAACCTGACATGGGCTTATACATATTTTAGACCCATTTTCTACATGGTGAATTCTGCAGACTAAAATGCAATAAATGTGGAGAAAGTGACAACTTGAATGAAAAAAAAATATGCTATTCTAATTACTAATGGTTGATTGTCATTTCTGGAAGGATTATAATAGAAAATTCTAGCATGGAAATGCTAAAATTAAAATTTTCAATTAAGATTTTTAGGGTGGGAGTGGGTGAATAGAAAAAAGCATGTGAATGACTTCACTTGTCTCTTGACAAAACCCATGTAACGAGGTGGTAAATTTGAATTTGGATCATCTTTTCTTTTTTGGACATCTAAGAGTGAAGTTCCCTTTCAGAACTCTTAACGCTTTGTAAAATTTCTGGCTTATTTATTCATACTGTTGCTGTATAAACAAACACATAAGAGTTTTCCAGAACTTCAACTACTAATATAAATTAAGCTTTTAAACATGTTCAGAGTGCCCTGTCCCATCAGAGTTTAGCTTCTTAAATACAGAATATGCTGGACACTTTAGAAGTTGTATTTATTGCAGCTCTTTTTAAACCATCTGGATATGTATCCAAGGATGCTTTATAGAAATAGCGAAGTAGGAGAAAACCAAACTCTCAGCCTTGGAGTAGTCTAAATAAAATTAGTTACTTGATTGAAAACTATAATTCCAAATTCAGATACTTCTGTATCCACTAAATTACCTTTCAGAAATGGAAACATCGTATTTCTTTCCCATGCCTTCTCCTTCCATATATTGTGTTGTTTGTCCTCATTAAGTCCATTCTCTCCTAGGCCTGTTTTGCCTGTGATGTGTCACCTATGATTATATAAAAGAAGACAGGTGCCAATTATTTGCTCAGGTGAGGGAGAGAGAAAAGGCATCAAAGTGTGACTTCCTGATTTCTAGTCTCATGCCATGTCAGTACAAAATGTCAAGTTCTCTGCACCTAGTAACTTGAACAGGTAATTGTGGGCTCGAGGAAAGAAGAACAAACACTGGGGATGGAGTTGTCTGGAAGACTTGTGGAGTCTCTAAGGGTGCTCTGCAGAGAGCAAAAGCATGAGGAAATTTTATAAGAATAGTATATACACAACATTGTAAAGCAAAATAATAAGATTAAAAAACAAAGGTGAACAGATAAGACAATTACCAAACTGAGAAGAGGCAATGGAGGGCCTTGAATGATAGGATAAGGAATTCAAGTTTAATTCTTTAGCAAGTTTCATTAAGATTTTTGAGAACAAGATCAAGATCATTTACAGGCTAACGTAAATATATATATATGTGCACACTTAGCTAAAACCAAACCTCGGTAAATATATTATTCATAATGTCTTTTGTTTTAAACAAAACTAGCATGCTATCTCCCATTTTCTCCATATGTATGCAAACAGAGAAGGTTTTATATATAAGCAGGATTTGTTTTCCCCGTTACTTTTTCCAGAAACACTGTTTTCTCCATATCCTGTGGCTTAAGTGTTTGCTCTTCATGATACCCCTCTCTAGAGGGTCCCCCAACTCACAGGAGAATGGCCAAGACAGAAAGCTAGGCAGGGCTGGAAACCAGAAATTGCAACTGATTCTCCAGAAAAGAGGTAATGAACAAATTATTCGATTTCAAAGCTTCTGAAGGGCCCGGAGTTCAATTCGCCCTGCACATTTCCACAGAGTGAAGCACGCTCTGTTCTCTTTAAGATACTGTGTGATAAATTACAGCAGAGTGGATGGAAGAAGAAAACAAAAATGGGAATATAATAGTTAACACCTGTATCATATTTATTGTTATTGACCAGAAGAAAGCAATAATAAAGCAAAGGTTTATGAAAATATTAACTTCTGCTAGAAGACTCTAAATTGCACCTAAGTCACTCCAACCAATTGGAAGTAGAAAATGTTGCCCTGAAGGGTTTATCTCCTCCTGCCTTTTCAGCTTCCATTTTGTCACAGGCTAAATATTCTGCCTTTTATAAAATACTCGTATCAGTTAGCAATGTTCCCAGTTCCACCACCTGGATCCAGAAGTAAGCGGCTGAAGCAGTCTTCAGGTTCTAATCCCAGAGTCATTACATCACTTCCTTCTTCCCCTGATTATTCTGCTGCCTCTTATGCCAGTTCTTTTGGCAACTGCACCTGTGATTTAAGCATTTGAAAAGAGGAGAAAAAATGAATCTTAGTTATTCAAGTGTTTTACAGCAAAAATGGCAAAATGTACATACCTCAAAAGGTGTCAAGTGGATTAAAAATTCTGGCCAGAGAGTGCCCCCCCACCCAATCATGATAAAACAACAATAATAACCACAGCCACCACAGACTGGGCGTTTACTGATGACGGACAGATTCAAGGGCTCAGAGCCCTTGAATCTTACATTGAAGCTTACAGTGTAAATAAGAGGGCAGGTGCTAGAATCTGCCTGGTCCACTATGCAACTTGTATGCAACTTGTTGCATAGTGCTTTGCTATGCTATGCTCAGTCGCTTCAGTCATGTTCAACGCTTTGTGACCCCGTGGACTGTAGCCCACCAGTCTCCTCTGTCCATGGGATTCTCCAGGCAACAATACTAGAGTGGGTTGCCATGCCCTCCAGGGAGTTGCATAGTATTGTATATCAATTCTCTCAGCTACAAAATCACAGTATCTTATTCACAAGGCTACCATGAGGATTAAGTGATGCAAGTTAGTAATCAGTGCTAACAGTTCTTTTTAAAGCATTTTCTTATTTCATCTTAGGACCACATTGTAGAGGGGACGGCCTCAGAGAGAACAGGGAATCTGCTTCAGGTCACAGGGATAGAAAGTGGCAGAGCTAGATGTGAACCCGGACCTGCCTGATTTCATTACTCATCTCAACCACCAAATAAACACCACTGTAAGAACATAAAAATGGGTTCTTTCCCCTTTGAAGTGAAGTGAAGTGGTTCAGTTGTGTCCGACTCTGTGATCCTGTGGACTGTAGCCTACCATGGGATTTTCCAAGCAAGGGTACTGGAGTGGGTTGCCATTTCCTTCTCCAGGGGATCTTCCCAACCCAGGAATCGAACCCAGGTCTCCCGGCATTGTAGGCAGACACTTTACCATCTGAGCCACTAGAGAAGTCCTTCCTCTTTAAAGTGTATTACTAATTTGACACTCACTAAATTTTACAATGCTATTTGGAGAACCCCCATCCAAGGGTTAAAAAAAAATGCAAAAGAGTAGTGTAAGTCTGACTGAAAATCAACTTTGACTTTTGTTTCATAGGAACAACTCAAAGATAAAGCAAGTTCTTAATAGGTTTAATGTGGTGTTATATCTAAGGAGAATGACTTATCTACTATGAAGGTAACTTT